GCCCGCGGGCCGTACGGGATCGCCGACCGTACGGCCCATGCCGCGTCCGGATGCACCGACCGGACGTGGCTTCAGTTTTTTATTATTTTTTTTAAATTCGTAAAAATTAAAAAAAAAAATTACCTTGCTCGAGATAATGCTTGCCGATGCTGTAGGATTTTTTCGACATTTTTTCGAATTTTTTTGAAGCACGAATGGTTCGGTGAAGATAAAATTCTAGAGAGATAGAGAGAGTAGAGAGAGAAAGTGGCAATGGTATCTTCGTAAAAAGGGGCGGTAACTAGTAAAAGGGAGTGATAAATAGCGATTCATTTTAAGATATGGACTTATCCAAAATGGACTTCTCTAAAAGTCTTTATCATTTACTTCGAACTTTTTAGAGAAACAACTTATCCATAAGTACATTCTTAACTTACACCAAACAACATCGAAAGTCCATTTGAAAAGTTATAAAGAAAAAATCCTGTATGTTTTTTTTTGGTTATTAATTTTTAATTTTTATTTTTATTTTGGGGTTAATGAATGGCTATGGCAGAACTGTCTTTGACCACTCGTTTTTTCAGCATCCATTTAGCCACGAGCGTGATTAAATATTTATATTTATATTATTTATTATATGTCTACTCTAATTCCCAAATTTCATCAACTGTGAGAACAGTTATCGCAGTCCGTGTCCGCCGGGTCAACACCTCCGACGTCGTTTCAGTGCGTCGAACGATCGGAAGGCGACAATACTAGGTTTTCCAGACGTCGGTCGGAGCACCGCATCCAATTATGGGACCCGAATAGTAAATCTATCATCTCTATTTTTGTGGATCCCAATTAATCAAAATGATGATATATGTTTTTCTTTGGGAATCGGAATTTGTTTTCTTGCGATCCAATTTTATTGATCCATAGCTGTTGATTGCGGTATGAATTTCGCTTGGATTTGCTTCTGCTGCGATGCTATCAGATCCATGATACTTTGCGCTTATCTGGTTCTTGTGTTATATGTCGAGTGACTGCAGATTTCATTTTGGTGTAACACTTACTAATATTTATTATGATACTCGATTATCCATGTCTTTGTTTTATGTGTTCTTTTTGGTGAAGATGGTATGAAGCTTGTAGTTCTTGTTGGTTAGACGTCTTCAATTCGGTTCTCTAGTGAAATTTAATTACATTTATGTGAATGGTTTATTTTTGAAAAGCATGTAGGGTAATGGGCAGATCACATAATGGATTCTACGTAAAGGAGATGGGGCTACCGAATTTGGTTTATGCAGGGATTATAAGTCTTGAGATTAATGCTCTGTTAATTGCCCAGTGAACCAAAGTTTTCTCTTTTCTGATGTTGTTGATCTTATGTTTAAACGTAGTTTTATATGACTATCTCGGCAAGAGGTAATTGTAAACCTCTTTTGTCATTAAGGATTAATAATGTCTTTTTCAAATAAAGCAACTATCTGCCTCAATGTGTATGTCTATAGTGGTTCAGAACACTGGGATAGTTTTTATATTCAGCAGTGCCATTGTCGTGCATTTTACATATCTTTGTTTTAGAATCTCATTTCAGATTTGTTGTTGTGTTTTGCAGTGACTACTTGTTCAAACTGCTTCTAATTGGAGACTCTGGAGTTGGCAAGTCATGTCTTCTTTTGAGATTTGCTGTAAGACCCTAGATTTTTACTTTAATTTGCTTGGCGAGATAGATTTAATAATGAACATTGGTAGTTTAAGTATAATGTTTTATATTTTTGTGATTGTTGTTAAGATAGTTCCTTATAGCATTATTATATTAATATTTATCTTTATGTGGTTTGCTGAAATGCGGCATGTCTCATTTGCTTTCTTCTTATAGTATTTTAATTATGTCTGTTATTTAATAATGTGATGAAGCAACAGAACCATTGGATTATTCTTACGATAAACATCTTTTAGAACCGTGATATTAAACCTCTTGAGAACAGAGTGCAAGTGCTCGTTTGTTTTTTAGTGCTTAAACTATTTAACTAAGCAATCACCTTTGACATGTTAAATTTTTGTTTCTTGAATGTGGGGGTAGTGATAACTGATAAGCTTTTCTCTTCCACGCAGGATGACTCGTACCTTGACAGTTACATCAGCACAATTGGTGTAGACTTTGTAAGACTTTCAATATAGAGGTTTGACTGTTAGATGCCACAAGTATGATCATGATCAGGTTTTGAACGTTTTATGTTTTACTTGTTATTACAGAAAATTCGAACCGTGGAGCAAGATGGAAAGACTATTAAACTTCAGATTGTAAGTTCATTTGTCTTGATTCTACAATAATGATTTGAAATTGGCTCTGAAAGTTGGCTGTCAACTATGTATGATCATTAAGCTAGTCAAAACTTTCATGTATGCTATCATTCAAATTTGGTGAACTTAGCCCTTTGTTTCGGTACTGATGATAAGTTATCATCCATCACTGGTGCTAGTGTCCTGGAATTAAGTTATCATCAATCTTTTCTCATTGCTTAGAATTTCTAGGACAAACTTGTATTGGTATTTAAGTTGAGTGGGTATACTTCAGGATACAAACTGTTCTTTATTTTACAAATGAAAGTGTTTTGAGGATTATTGTGTATCCAAATAAGTTCTGTGAGCGTATTTTTGATGTAATTGACATAATAAAATGATCTTTAGCGACATTTATGTGGTTTATTTAATCGTGCTCTACTCTTACTGATCCAAGATGGGCATGAGGATTTGAGCTCAAGTTTTACTCCAGTAATGTTCGAATTTTCCCATTTCTTTCTCAAATGAAAAACTAATTATGCTTGTTTAATTTTTTTATATTGATATTATTTTTCTCTTAGTATACTTATTAAGATAAAAAATAATGAAATTGTATATTAAGTTAATGCTCGTTTATTCTTGGTAATGTTCATGAGCAAGCTTATGTTAGTCCAATTAATTAATGAGCACAAATTTTCTTTTGACGTTAGCTTGATTAGCTAAAGAATGAGCCTTATTCGAGATTGAATGAGCTCGTCTGCATATGCTCAGTTTGTTTACAGCTACACTGTTACGTGCACCTTTGGCTTATTATTATTATTATTATTATTATTATTATTATTATTATTATTATTATTATTATTATTATTATTATTATTATTATTATTATTATTATTATTATTATTATTATTATTATGTACGGATTCTTTCATTCTCTGCAAGAATTTTTTCTAATAGTTTCCTGGGATTGGAGAGTTATGAAATGACTGTCGTTAGATGAGGTTCTTTTGTGCTTTCAGACTTCAGTTGCATCCCTTTAGCCTTATTCATTAAAATGAACATCTTCTACATTTCATACTATCGTAATGATGGTGCTCCAACCACTACAATGGTAAAAAGAAATAAAAAGGTTAAAAATGTTATGAGCTTCTTGTCAAGCTCCCTTTACAATAAATCATTTTATTCTCGATCCGTACAGTGGGATACTGCTGGACAAGAACGATTCAGAACTATAACTAGTAGCTACTACCGTGGAGCTCATGGTATTATAGTAAGTCACATTTGAGTTTTTTTTTTGGTTTTTTTTTTTTTTTTTGGCATTATTTGAAATCCTTGTTGCCCTACCTTCTATTTGAAATTTAGCATTTATTATTTAAATATATCCTAAACCTTGCTTGCATTCCTTGGGCAGATAGTGTACGATGTAACAGACCAGGAGAGCTTTAACAATGTAAAGCAGTGGCTGAATGAGATTGATCGATATGCTAGTGAAAATGTAAACAAGCTTCTCGTAGGAAACAAGTGTGACCTTGCTGATAACAGAGCTGTGTCGTATGATACAGCAAAGGTAGATTTTTTTTTTTTTAAAAAAATTATCTTTGGGCGTGTATATAATTTTATCCAAGGTAATATTATTAATGGTTCTCTTTGTTGGCTGATGAAAAAGGCCTTTGCGGATGAAATTGGCATCCCATTTATGGAGACAAGTGCAAAGAATGCCACCAATGTTGAGCAGGCTTTTATGGCTATGGCTGCTGACATCAAGAACAGGTTAGATTTATGCTGCAATGTATAGGTTGTTTTTTTTTTTTAAATAAATAAATAAACTGAACTTTTTTTCACCCTTGAAGATCATCTTAGCTCATGCTTCCAAATGACAAATTGACCCTACGGAGGGTAAATCGAGTGATACTCATTGTTATTTGCATCTGAACTTTTTATACCTTTTTATTGACAAATTGACCCTATGGAGGGTATAACATTTGATACTCCTGGAATATTGACGAGGCTAATTGTAATCATTATTTGCATCTGAGCTTTTTATAGACAACTAAAGCCAAATCAAAGGGAAAAATTTTGTACATATTCTTGTATTGGAAGGTCCAATATTTACTATTGTTTACTTATTATTGTTTGTGATTCACGTTCGATATTAGGATGGCTAGCCAGCCTGCATTGAACAACACGAGGCCACCTACCGTGCAGATTCGAGGACAGCCTGTTGCCCAGAAGAGTGGATGCTGCTCTTCTTAATGCTGTGAAATCGTAGCTCTAATTTTCAATTTCTTGTTGGCCAAATCTTTCCACCACATGATGAAAAGCTGCTATGTGTGTTTTTTTCTTTTATATGAATTAGTTCGATTCTTTGGAAGTTATGCTAAATGTCCAGTACAAACTACAGAGGACCTCTTATAGTATTTTTTTCGTTTGTTACGGTTTTTAATTCCTTCAGTCCTGCCCACAGCAACAGGTAGCAAAAACTGTAGTGGTTTGCACGGCATTTGAAGCTTGTACGTGGTGCGTAGGAGAAATTATGTATTACATTATTCTTATGGTGGTTTTCTTTTTTCTTTCTTTTCTCCTTTTGTTTTTTAGAAAAAGCTTGTCCCTTGAATTTGATTACAGATTTGGGTATAAATTATAACTACAAAACTTCAATCACAACTAAAATGTAATTCAAATTTATGTCAATCACAATTCTCTTATATATTATCAATATAATTAAATATTATCAATCAACTATTTTCACATATTACATAAATTTTAATTTATTATTTATTCACTCACATACTTTTTTTTTGGTACAATAAAGGGAGGCCTAGGCCTAACGGACACTAAAACAAAACGCGACAGTGGCAAACCACCCATTAAGATCATGTTCAAGCCACCTGCCGACAGATAGTGGTAAAACATACATATAAGCATACATCACAACCTAATATACATCTAACGTGATAAGACATATCAGAAATGCATATAAATAAGTAAATTGTGTATAATTGTTGCTCAACTTACTGTCTATAACTGCTGCTCAACTGACTGTCTATAGTTGCTGCTCAACTGACTGTATATAATTGCTGCTCAACTGACTGTCTACAACTGTTGCTTAACTGACGAGAAGGACACGTGGCCTTCGCGCTTGGGGTAAGCAACTGTAGGATCTAATCTGTAGGTCGTTACCCCTTAGGGAAGAATTATTCTATCCTCATATGAAATTTCAAGTTGACTCGAAGCTGTTCTAAGGTTCTTAATTTACTTAACTCAAAGCTGCACTAGAGTTCTAATCTCATCTTAATTAGCATTCGGTTCACTTAGCTTAGCTAGAACAGACCTACTCGCTAACTCTTATATACATACCTCAGCCAGGATATTGCGATTATAGAAAATGTAGTACCCAGTACAAGGTCCCCACCTGATATGCTGAAATGCAAGTGCTTAATGGATTGCAACTGTCGGAGGTTCGACTCCCCACAAGCTACAAAATATATGAGCACAAAATATGTTCTAAGTACTAAGCTTAAACTGAAAAACTCAAATCTTATAATCTGATCTGACTAAGTTCGCTCACTTGGCTTTGGAATCATTTAAAACTCATTTTAGGAATTTAGGAGCTGATTTTAAAATTTTATTTTCTTTGAAGCATACTAGAGTTCTTCGAAAAAAGTTCTAAGTCTGGAACTACAATTTGACTGGGTCTAAATTCTGACTGAACATAAATCTGACCGAAGCTTATCTGACTGGTTCGAAAAATCTGGATTCTCAGTTCACGCTCAAACTGATGTTCCGAACTAAATTCTCGAACCGTCCGGACTGATTCGACTAAACTGGTATTCTCTTCGAACCGTCCGGACTGCCCGGACTGATTCCACTGAACTGGATCGACGACTTCACTCGGAGTCGGTCGATCATGCTTGACTATGTGCAGCTTGACTTAACCATGGTCCGGGTCCAGCGTGGCAACTCGGGGCCTGCGCGAACACGCCTGACACGACTTTGACGGTGCACGGGTTTGAAACGGTTCCACAGTCACTAACACAGGGGCGTGTTTGGACCACGGCTAACAGAAAATATCGCGTTGACGGTAGGTCGGACGAACGCACGGGCGTTGAACAGAGCGCAAGGGCGCATCTCGGTCGGACTCGATGCACGGGCATGCGCTGGGTGGCTCAACCAATGAACGTACGAGAATGCAACAAATGTGCAGGACGACGACATACGTTGAAAGACACGTGCTAATGCACGCCAGTTGAATAATTCTGATCGCTACGAGGCACTCGACCTCGATAGCCTTCTTAGACTCGGTTATGATCCGTCGGCAACTAACTGGCCGATTGACCACATATCGACACCCACCACGGACTCATTTATAATCTTACAATGTCTAAAATTATTTAAACGGAACAAGGGTTGGGGCGATTAAACTCGGATCCAAATTTTACCCGGTTATCAGAACTAGATAAAACTAGGGTTCTCGATTCTAAAAAATTCTTACTCATTTAAATTTGATACTTCAATCATAATTTCTATGTGATTTATAAGGATTTTTCCATAACTGCAGCTACATCGCAACCGAACTATTTTTTCTAAAATTATCGCAGTAAACGACCTAAGTCTCGATTTATTAACCCTATCAAACGACATCCAAAAATCACGAAATTTAAAACATAGCATCCTCAACATGTTGGGATCGGTGAGGATATCATTATGTACAAATCACGAATTCAATAGCAAACGTAAACCTATGCGCAGCGAATCTAAAGCGTAGAAAACTTACGACTTAAAATTTTGGCGATCTGGCTAATCTTGAATTGACCGGGATAAACACACGAACACGTCGGGAATACGAAGAGATCTCCGGGATCATCTAGTCGTGTCACGTGGCTCATCGGACGGGTCGTGTGGGTCGCGCCGGGGGCACCAGTTCGTCGCATCGTGGATCTGGGCTGATCGCGGTGGCTCGTTCGCAGCTCCTGCTGGCTGCGATTGGCTCGCGGATGTCCTCCTGCAGGTCGGGTCAACGTGTCTCGGCCTTCGGGTCGTGATTTTTCGACTCCAGCTAATCACGGGGTTGATGAATATATGTGTCTCATTAACCACGGGATCTTCTACTGTATATTTCAAAACACCTCTTCAACATGTACCAGTGGAACAACAAGAAGAAGATAAGCTCGAATAAGAACTGAGAGAGAGAGAGAGAGGAGAGAGAGAGAGAGAGAGTGGCGCGCGCGGGGGCGTGTATTATTGTGTGATCTGTCTCTTCTCATGAGCTTAATGATGTATATATAGAGCTACAGTAGGGACCCTTAGGAGATTAGAAATAGAGCACCTTAATTAATTAGAGTAACTGTGGGCCAAACCCACTCTTTTAATTAATAAAATAATATTATGGGTCACCAACATAATATTATTGCACTCCCTTTTCGTAGCCTAATTTACAATTGAGACTCCAATTATAATTACCTGAATTACCTCCCCATGTTAAGATATAATGTCCATTAATTAATTCGTTTACTGATATTCAAAAATTAATTAATTAATTATTATTTCACCGAAGTTAGCGCTCGTTCATCACATTATTACTATGTCAGAATTTAATCCACATGTAGGGTTTAGCATAATAATCCTTCATGAACTCAATCCGGGGATATCATCAAACTAAACGTAAATGGTGGCCGTAAATATCCTAACAACACATCATACATGCAACAATATTACCCAAGACAGTAGGACTATGGATCCAGTTCACTAAACCTCACTAATGTGAATATATACTGCATATATATGTCTGTTTAATATCATACGGGTTAAGAGAACGCAGTCATTAACCGAGGCATAGTTCGTTTACAATGATCAGTATAAAACGAACTGCTCATCTCTAGGATTCTGTTCGATACATAAATGTACTAATGCAACTAACCAGTCAAGAAAAACTGTACCGTTTACACTACAACCGTTCGGATGGGGTGTTCATTTCCAACTAGGTTGTGAACCATTATTCTTGTTTCGCAAGTAACTGATAGAACTTGTTTAATCTAACATATTTCTCATTCATAAAAGGAAAAAGTGTAATATCATCTAAAGCCAAGTTTTCAGTACAAAACACAACAATCTCCCACTTATACTTAAAGCTTTCGCTTTTACAAGTGTAATCCTATCAATCCGTTATTCTTAATGACCTATGTCGATCCTATCGCCATGCACGTGATTCCCATTCCTTCCACGTGTTTGGCAAAGAACTTATCTGGCAAACTCTTCGTGAAGGGATCAGCTAGGTTGTCATCTGATGCAATCTTGGTAACATCAACGTCTTCTTTACCAACTATCTCTCGAATCAGATGGTACTTTCGCTCTATGTGTTTGCTTGCTCTGTGGGCTCGTGGTTCCCTTGAGTTTGCTGCTGCTCTACTGTTATCACAGTACATAGTGATACCACGTGGCAAACTCAGAATCACCTCTAAGTCCACTAAGAAGTTTCTGCGCCAAACTGCCTCTTTCGCTGCCTCTGAGGCTGCTGTGTACTCGGCTTCCATGGTGAAGTCTGCCACGCATCTCTGCTTAGCACTCCTCCATGAATTGGCTCCACCTCTCAAGGTAAACACATAACCTGAGGTTGACTTACTCTCGTCCATGTCTGGAAATCGGAATCACTGTAACCCAGAGGTAACAAGTTGTCTGCACGGTAAACTAACATGTACTCCTTAGTCCTTCTCAGGTACTTTGATATCTAGCTATCAAGCCAACGTCGTAGCTAATATCTGGCCTAGTATACAACATAGAATACATGAGAATTCCTACTGTCGAAGCGTAAGGACTTGTCTTCATCTCTTGTATCTCTTGAGACGTCTTAGGAGACATCTTTGGACAGAGGTATTCCCTTCCTGAAATGTAACGCCCTAAAGATTTTTAAAGACAATTCCAGGTTTACCCAAAAATCCCATTTTAAAATTTCAAAAAACCATTTATCGATTTATAAAACATTTGGAGCTACTCAAGAACTTCTCACACATAATCAGCAAAAGGAATGAGAATAACCAACACAATTCAAGTTCCAAGACTACATTTCAACATATCGAGTCAAATAAGATTGTCAACATAATCCGAAACTGAAAAAAATAATCCACATGGTTCAAGCAGTTCAACCATTCCCAAAACGCATAAGGAAAATAACAATCTCATGGTTCAACAATGTCTAATAATCTCAACATTAATTTTATCATGGAATGCGGAAGCATTAAAAAGCAATAATAAAGTTG